GAGCCTCTGAGTGTGCTGGGATTACAGGCTTGTGACACCATGTGTGGCTAGAGTTACCTTTGTAAAAATGTACTTTATAATAAAGAAAGGTCTATATATGTAATGACTTTCCAATCTCTTTCTAAAATCATTTAAGTAATAGAGAACTGAAAAAAGGAGGAAAAAAATGAGACAGGGTCTTACTTAGTAGCCAGGTTCCCTAGGCTAGACTTGAACTTGTGATCCTTCTGCCTCAGCTTTCCAGACTGTTAGAACATATTAACACAACTTTTATTTTTTGTCTTTTTTTTGAGATAGGGTCTCACTATGCAGTTCAGGCTGGCCTTGGAACTCACTGTGTAGCCCAGGTTGGTCTCAAACTTGTAACAATCCTCCTGCCTCATGTGCCACTATGCCCAGCTAATGCGATTTTTTTCATATATATAATATATTATATATATTATATATATAAATATATATATATTTTCATGTATTTGGTACAGAGTCTCACTACACAGCTTGGACTCATAATGATCCTCCTGTTTTCAGCCTCCCCAGCACTGGGAATTACAGGCATGTGCCACCACATCAGGTTTTGGTGGTGGGCTCAGTGTGCCCAGGTGTGTGGGGGGCAGCATGGCATGTGGTGCCACAGATTGAATCCTGGTCCCTGTGCTTGCCTAAGCAGGCTCTTAGCCCGCTGAGCTATCTTGCTGGCCCCTGGCTAACACTACTTTAAAAAACTAATATTTTTAACAAAACTTGAGGCTCAGTAGTAAATATTTTAAAATCTTATCAAATGTATAGTTATCAACTATAATCTGTCAACATGTATAATCATATTTTTAAATAAATAAAAATCCTATCAGCTTTCTACATTTAATTTAATTTTATTTAATTTAATTTAATTTATTGAGACAGGGTATCACTGTGTAGTTTATTTAGGCTGGCCTCAAACTCTAGAGAATCTTCCTGCGTCAGCCTCCCAAGTACTAGGATCACAGGTGTGTGCCACAATACCTGGCCCTCTACCTTGAAATGAAAAACATGAATGATTAGAATCTCATTTTTGAGACTAAGTAGAATCTAGCAATTAAGATAGAATTTCTTTGAATAAACAAAACATGTTTTAAACACTGCAGAAAGAGTAACTATTACCATTCTATGAGTGGGATTCATGGAACAAACCCCTATGAGGAACAGAGACCTGCTGAGGGATTCTGTGGCCAAAACTATTTCCATAAATATACTATGAAGGTATTTACCTTGCACCCTCTCATGTTTATAAGTATAGTCTAATCATGCAGACACTACATGACATCTGATGTTATTTCCCTGACACTCAAAGAAAAATATGCTTGTATATTATTACTACCTTAAAGAATTTTAAAGGTAAGTATGTTTAGGATGTAACTATGCATATTTTCAGAGATTAGATTTATTCTTTTCATCTTCTATGCTCTTGCTATCATTGGTTATACTCAATATTACTTCCACATTAAAAAAAAATCAGTAATTTAAGACGGGTATGCCTGTAATCCCTGCTAATTGGGAGGCTGAGGCATTGAGGTCAGCCTGGGTAACTCATAGGACTCTGTGTCAGACTGAAAAATAACAAAAGTCTAAGGACGTAGCTCAGTGGTAGAGCACTTGCCTACCATGCATGAGGCCATGGATTCAATCCCTAGTACGACAACAAATAAGCAAACAAACAATATTTTTAAACACCCTGATATTTCCCCTTGTGGAATATAGTAAGACACAAGTATTTTGTTGAGGTTTTCTGTAGTAACATTTTTTAAAACTTTTGCAAACTTTTCGAAGTTAAAATTATTTTTCTCTAAATTTTAGATATTTTTATGTTAAGTATATATATTTTATACAGAGTCCTCCAAAAAATGTATACACACTTCAGGCAAAGAAACAATTATATAAATATTTTAATATTAAATTCATTAAGGCATCATGAGATCAATATAAGTTATCTTTGCCTTCTACAATTACAAGGGGTGCTCAAAAAGGTGCTCAGAGTGGTGGCCACTGGCTTCTGATGGGGAACTGCTCCTGGGGTGACCTTGGTTAAAAAGCTTCTACTGAGATTGCTGCACATGCATTTTCAATCTCTTCCCTGAGGGTTGGCAGTGTAGTCGGTTTTCTGCAAAATATGATATCCTTTAGGGTCCCCTCCAGATAAAAATGCAGATGTGGGATTTTTTTTCTTGGTAACAGGGATTGAACTCAAGACCTTGTGCTTGTCAGGCTGGCACCTATGCTGCTGAGCTATCTCCTCGGCCCGAAGTCCGCAGGCATTAAAGCAGGAGAACATGTACATTATATGACTTTTATTTTCCTAAAGTATATATACATTTTTTTGGCAGGCTCTGTAAAAAATTTGACATATAATACACATTTTATGAAAACTTTTTTTTTTTTTTTTAATGTATTTGGTTGTTACAGCGTTTCACTACGCAGCTTGGACTCATACTGATCCTTCTGTTTTCAGCTTCCCCCATGCTGGGATTACAGATGTGCGCCACTATCCCAGGACTATGGCCGGCTCAGCCTGTCCTGGGGGTGGGGCTGGCACAGCATGTGGTGCTACAGATCTAACCACGGTACCTGAGCATGCCTAAGCGTGTCTAAGCAGGCACTTTAGTCCACTGTGCTATCTTGCTGGCCCTCTTTTCATTTTTTTTTTTGTACCAGAGAGCAGACTCAGGACCTTGTGCTTGCCAGGGCCAGGTAGACACTTATGCCGCAGAGCTATCTCCCCAGCCCTATAATATACATTTTATAACCATATATCCTAATACATCATTTAATTTTAAAATCAACATTTTATTTAAAGACTAAAATTTATTTAAATTTTCTTAAAGTTAAGAATGGACTACTAGCTGTGGAAAGTAGAAGCAACACATTCACTCTCTCACACAACAGCTGTTATATCAGGAAAAGATGCAACACGTGTCTCAAAGGCACTGCTAACTCATAAGACAGGGAACATCTAGTCCAGAAAAAGTGAGCTAAACTATAAACAAAAGCAGATAGGAGGAAAGTTGTTGTTCCCTTGGCTTTATAGACATTAATAATTTACCTTCTGTGTCTTAGACAACAAAATGTTTCAGATATTGTTATGGGACTAGCTAATTACAGCATCAATTTGAAGCCATTCAGAGTCTAAACAAAAAGGAATTAAATGATTTTAAAAGTAGATATAACCCATTAATATCTTGCCAAGAGAAATGTACTTACAGCAAAACCTCTAGGCTTACCTGGCCTTTCATTACTCTGAATAGGAGATTTTTCTGTGAAACATGGCCAAACCCCCAGAAGGACAGAAATTAAAAGTGTTGAAATATCAGTGAGAATTTCATGGTTCCTCCTATGACACCTGTGTGACACTAACACTGACGGCAGAAGCCACAGTGGGTAAAGCTGCTGTGCCTCAGGAAGATCAGGGACCAGCCGTCACTGTCCTTACCTGTACTCCTCACTGCCACAACCTTATAGGGAAAGCAGACCTAGTCACTAATAACCCCTGATGAAGCCCATAACTGCTACTGACTTTATTGAATTGTTACCCTTGAGAAACTTGAAAATCCTGTATAATAAAAAAGTATAGGATACACAAAACACTTCTGCTCCATGACCCAAAACAATGGTTGTCTGCCAAAAAGCACTCCTACACTTGTGTAAGCTCTGAATGTTTAAGGTTCACACAAATGTACTCAGAAGAATGACTAACAGACAAACAACAGTTACTCATCCTTGACTATTTGGCATATACTTCCCCCGCAAATAGCAAAATGACCCTACCAGTTTAAGAAAAACAAATAAAGAATTTTGTGGCCCAGGATAAATTTGAGTTTTTAAACAGAAATGAGAATCTTGGAGAATCTGTGTCTGTCAACACGAGCTGACAGCTTTCCAAAATTTAAAGGCACTGCTAAATAGACTGGTGGTAACAGCGATGGCTATTAAGTATTCACACTGTACACTGAAGTATCTCAGTGTATGAAAGATCTACATAACTCAGTGAACCAAGGTTTTTCAAACAGACTATGCATGGCACTACATAATCTTGCAAAAGATCCAAAACAGTGTATGACCAATGTATTTTAATGCAACAGAGTATGAAAAGTTCATTAACAGAATTTTAGATTCTATACTTTTACTAATCTTTAAAAAAATGACTCTTTTCAAACTTTGGTGAGGCATCAAAGCAGAGTATAAACAACTATCACAGGCAGAGTACTTATCTAGCATGTAAGATATAAACAGAGTATAAAAAACTAAGATGGCTACTAAAATAACCACCTGCCTTTGCCAACTACTTATTTGTGTGGGGATGAATTTTCTTTATACTCTTCAGCCAAAACAGTACATCCCACCAGACTGAGTATAGACGCAGATATGAAAATCCAGCTGTTGAGCCACATAATGAAATCTTGAAATGTAAAAACAATGCTACTTTTGCCATACAGTTTTTGTGGAAATAGGATCTTGCTACGTAGCCTAAACTGGCTTCAAATTCTCAATCCTCCTGCTTCAGCCTCCTAAGTGCCAGTACTTTACAGGCATGAGACACCACACCTGGCTTGCCAAACTTTTGTGTGTGTGTGGGAGGGGGAGGAGGGCCTTGGGAAAGACCAGGATTCTTCATTAAAAAAAATGCTATTTATGTTAACACATAATCAATTTTTTAAAATAAGATTTCTTTTGTGGTGCTAAGGATTGAATCCAGGGTATCTTACATGCTAGATAAGTACTCTGCCTGTGAGCTACACTTATCCCAACTCAGTACATGTTTTAAATTTAAATGTGATAAATATTGATAGGTCTAATCCACATTTTAAAGAAAGTTCTTTGGGGTCCTCAATAATTTTGAAGAGTAAAGAGGGATACTGAGACCAAAACATTTTGAAAACTGCTATCATATTTGTATAACATTTCTAACACTCTAAAACATTTTTCTAAGACAAGAGAAAACAAAGCTGTTAACATGAAAGGACATCACTTACAGCAAAAAGGCTTCATTTACAGCTTCAAAGAATTCAGGACAGAGGAATTCCTGAGGTTCATGTCCATGGTAGGTGAGCAGAGCCTCCACTAGGGGTTGAAAATCAGGTAGGGTAACAACTGGGACACAAACTTGTGATAAGGACACCACTTGTTCAGGAGCCATCCTAAGCAAGAAATAAAATAAGAAATAATTACCCTAATCTGAGAACCACATGTAACTAAAGACCCAAAATCTTCATGCTGAAAAGTTCAATGACTGGTTTTGGCCTTAACATAGAGAGAATTTCACCTATTAACTCTTTTGTTAGTGCTTAAGGAAGAAACCCTTTGTGAAGGGCCACCTGAGCAACTCTCCTTGAAGAGCAGTAATTGTCTCCATTTTGATTGGACCTGACCCTATTTCCATGTGAAATATACAGAGCTGGCTAGGATTTTTCCTTATCCCTTCAATTGGCTTTAAGCAATGCATATTGGTCTAGCCAAAGTGCTGGTGGTAGTCTTTGAAGATGTCATGCCTCTTACCCTGATAACCCACACCTGCTGTTCTTTAGTATGAGCCAGGTTGAGACAGGATGAAGAACCACACTGTTGGCTGGGATTGAGACTTGAGATAGAGGCGATGATTTCCTGTGTCTTGAAAGATTACACATCAGTGCTGAAGCACTGGACCCCAAAACATTACATAGCATCTCAATAGTATAATGCAGATTACTTTTTCTGTACATCCTTCTTTCTGCATATGACAGAGGTAAATACAGGCCTTTTACCTAGCTCAGCTCCCAGTACTCACCTACTTTCTACAATTCTCAGTCAAGCATCTTCAAGCCACTCCTCCTTCCTGGTATAAAACCCAGGTTCGGCCCTGGGTCAAGGCCTTTGCTCCAGATAGCCATCACCATGGCTGGATTTAGCACCCCTTGGCTCCCCATAACTACAAATATGCTTTAGTATCTTAATTCTCACCATGGGTTGCACTGGAAGTGGTAGATTGGAATTAATTTAATGGGGATTCCAATAATTTATCCATGGGATTACAAATATAAACTTCCTGGGCTGAGACTAGGACCAGAAATGGCTCCCTATACCCTTTAGCTGCTCTTCCCATTTTACTGTCACTTGTTACCAGGATTTTGTTTGGCATAACTATCTATAGATGCCCAACTGGCCATGCCCCCAAGAGAACTCCTTCTCTAAGTATCCTAAGCCCAGAGCTCCCTAAATGCAGCTGGGGCCTGGTTCCTCCCTTCTTTTTCCATTCCTTATCTGATCTAGTACTGTCAACTCACCTGACCTCTTCTCAACATCAATCCTACCTCTACTTCTAGCCCGTCAGGCAGAACACAGTCTCCTGACTCTCTGCCTTTGCCCTCACTCCTGCTTATCATCAGAACAGTTCCTGCAGTCTTTACCAAGCCACAACGAGTCACCTGTCTGTTCACAGCTTTGCCATATGCTGCCTCCAGGGAAAAAGCGAAGTCTTATACTAGCCACTTTGGCTTTCCCTGACAGGTCCCTGCATTGTCCTGGTGCACCCCCCAACTTTATTCTTTCTGCTTCCAGCTGCTCCGTGTAGGCCCTGCTATTCATCCTACCTGAAACGCATGGCTACTCACTTGCTTTGCACAAGTCTCAGCTCAAATGTCATTTTGTAAGCAAGGTCTTCCTTGACTATAAACCCTATCAGTGCACTGCTTGTCACATATGGCCATCTAAATTTAAAAGAATTAAATCAAAGTAAAATTAAAAATCAAGCACACAGGTTGCCCTAGCCACATTTCAAGTGCTCACCAGTTACTCGAGGCAAGTAGTGAGTGTACATGAAAACAAAAACCCACAAAGCACATCCTTTCTACAGAAAGCAGACCTGTGAGTACCCCAAATGGCCCTTTGTCATTTTTATGTGTTCAACCAGCTGATGTGATACCTGTGTACTGTCAAGGACCTTGCTTCTGCAGAAGTCTTTGGAGGACAGGTCCCTTTTTCATAGCCCTTTTGCTAGCACCCAGAAACTACTTATGCATACTGTGCCGTTAAGAAACATGTTACATGAATGACTAGAGGTAAAAGAAACTTCTGGCTGGTTATATAGCTCAGTGGCACAGTGCCTGCCTGGCAAGTGTGAGGTCATGAGTTCGACTATTCGAATACAACCCCCCCCCCAAAATAAGAAACTTCTGACTACATACTGTAAGCTCTTATTCTAGGTATTTTCATATATAATCATAAATACAGAAATGTAAATTTGTGTTTTGTGAGATACAAATAATACCACAGTTTAGAATATAGAGCTGCCCCTCATTGTTTTAGATTTGCTGCTTATTTTTAAAAAGATTGTGTGTTCTGTAATTTAACATTGGCAGTTCAGTTATTTCTAGTGTGTCACTGCTAGGAATGGGGCTCAGCTGTGGCTTCACATGTGCCTGTCTATGCCCAGGTGGGAGTATCTGGAGATCAAATTCCTTCCCAATTTCTCTTCTCCTCTTGCCAGGAATATTATTATCCACTTTTTATTTCCTTTTTTCTAAATAAAAAAAACTATTTTCCTTAGAAGCATTCAGAATGTCAACAAAACAGCCGTAACTTTATTTTTTATTTTTTTGCAATTATAGAGTGGTATTTAGTTAACAGAACAATTATTTCATATAAGCTGCATCACAGACAACTGAAGATGAAAAACTACCATCACTATATATAACTAATTTGTGTTGTGTACTAATAAGAACCTGCTTTACAATTTCATGTCAATTTCCAACCCCCATAGTGTATCAAGCAAGGTTAGTGGCCATTGAAAATACCACCAGGACAGGGCTATTTAAAGACACATTCAGCAGTATGTTGACTATCCAGAAAAAAAATACACTGTACAGCTTAAAAACAAATCTTACAGTCATATATTTCAATTTTTTTTCTTCAAAAGGAGTGAGTTATGTAGGAGGCAGGGCTTACATGCTTTATAGACAAGAAAAATACTGTGCTAGAACCAATTTATTCATCATCCTTATCCTCCTCTTCATCCTCCTGTTCATCCTTTTCCTTCTTTTTCTTTTTTCAGCCTTGATGCTCCCTTTTTCACTGCATCAAGTTTTCCTTTAGCCTGGTGGGCAGCGATGTCCTTTTCTTACTTTTCCTTTAGCTTGGCAGCCTTCTTTGGTATAGCTGTTTGTCATCTGCTCCAGTATTACACCACATTTCTCAGTTTCTTTGTGACATCACCAATGGAGAGGCCAGAATGTTCTCTTTTGATTTGGGGGTGATACACAGACCAGAACAAGAGGCTAAAGGAGGCCTCTTGGGTACATTGGGATTCTTGAACTTTTTTTTTGTTTCTCCTTTAGAAGGAGTGTAAGTTTTCATTTCTCTTTCATAACAAGCCTTGTCCACCTTTGCCATGTTTTCAAATTTTCCTTTCTCTTTAGCAGACATGGTCTTTCACCTCTCTTAGAAAACTCTGAGAAGTTAGCGGAAGTATCTGGGTGCTTCTTCTTGTGCTCCTCTCGGCAAGTTTGCACAAAAAATACACATTATGACATTTTGCCTGTTAGGATCTCCTTTGCCCATGTTTACTTGTTTTTCTCAGTGAGGCACAGAGTCAGCCAGTGCCCATCCAGCTCTCACTTGCTTTGGCGCTGTCTCTATGGAGCTCAATATACCACAATGCCTATTATCCACTTTTATTTCTTGGTTATCTGGCAGGCAAAAATTAGTATCAATACCTTAATTTGCATTTGTTGATCACTGGTGAGACTGAGTTAACTGTTACCCACTTGTTTTTCCTCTTCAATGAATTCATTTGTATATTACTATACATTTGTCCTACTTATTCCATGACTGTGTGTTGGTTGCTCAGGATATTCAAGGCTCTGAAGTGTTCATGACAGAGAAGCAATGATGATAAAGCCTCAGAAAGGAAAGAAGCAGTGAAACAACAGCTAACAGTGTCAGGCTGAAAAGCAGAGGACACATGGGAAAGGAGTGCTAAGACTTGATGAAAGGTGCCATTTGGCAGGGGTCCAAAGGAACCATACAAGCAAACCATGAGCATATCTAGAGACAAAATACTGTAAACTTAGAAAGATCAAATACAAAAGTCTGGAGCATCTGAATCCAACAAGGCGGAAACCAATGCACAGATTTCAGTGAATGTGGCAAGAGGTCAGAAAGGCTTTGGCAGACCACTGACGACAGGGACACTGCATATTCTTTAACTTAGTTTTTACATATATCACATTTATACATACAATTTTTAAAGAGTCAAATGGGGAAGTACAAAGAATTAAGATGTGTTACATACATACACCAACTCCCAACAATAAATGTAACCATTATATACTGCTATCATGTATTAGTAATTTTAGTTTTTAAATGTTGAACAGTCAAATGGCTCTTTGACGCTTATGAAAAAAATGGGCATTCCCACTCTCACTTTCTGATCTCTGAGGTAAATATTTTTGACTCTCAGTTTTTCAGATATTCAATGTTGTTCCATGGGAAGTACAACACCAACGGCAGGCACATCTATCAGGTTATGGAGAAAAATGACCTTGATATTGCTGGTGAGCATGTAAACAAAGAGGCCACTTTGGAAAACAATCAGTAGCAGTCTGTTACCACATATCTTTACAGGTTAGGGAGATGTAAACAGAATTGATTAGAAAGGATGGTTTTACTCTTGTGTATTTTTACAGAAATTAATTTTTTAAAATTTTTTAATTTCAGGACAGAGTCTACAAGGTCTCACTACAAAGATAAGACTCATAGTGATTCTCCTGTTTTCAGCCTCCCAAACGCTGGGATTACAGGCATGCGCCACCACACCCACTCTCCATCACCCTCTCAGTGCGCCCCAGGGATGGGGCCAGCATGGCACGCTGGGAATCAAACATTGGCCACTGTGCTCTGCCTAAGCAGGTGCTTTAGTTCACTGAGCTATCTGGCCAGGCCCAGAAATGAATTCTAGAGACCCAGTCCTAGCCAAGGTCCGGTGAGTGTGTGGAGAGCTTCCTGCT